TAGCTCCGAAGCACACCCCGTAGTCAGACATCCCGGCCTGAGAACTTTGGAAAGAATACGCCCAAATGTTTGAAGCAGTCTGCCAAGATGAAGCTGAGTGGTGTTTTTGTTCTTTGGATCGAAAGGAACCCCTCCAGCTCGGCACTTGCAGTGCTGCTCACCGCTGTCTCCTATGTGGGGCTGCGTGGCATTCATGTAAAGAGTTTAGCTATAAGGCTATATTCAGCTGCTTAGCTAGGTTTAACTTAATTATCAAAATCATTCTTCGACTTGCACGCTTAATTAGAGCTTAGAATGTCTCCTGTTTGAAATTTCGGCACCAGAACCAGCGTGCCTCTTCTGAGAAAACTAAGTTCGAGAAGAAGGGTGTTGGGTTCATCATTTTTGTTGGCTCCTTCGGTTTCTTCGTCACCTTTGAGGGTGGTCGAGACAACTTGTAATGAGTTCATGAGTTTGATTCGTATGGTTTCTCCGTCCTGTCAGGCTCTTCCGGAGCTTGGAACCACTAGCATTTGCATTGAGCCTTGATCCATCTTGATCCTTTCTCCACAGCCATTTTGAGGAATTGTGCAGGGAATCAGGGATTGTTGCAGCTGTCTCGCTGAACTCGACGCGAAGCTATGTCCTACAACATGGAACTCTTTCACGACGATTTCGAGGCTCCATTTGGAAGGTTGAGCAGATGGAGCTTGTTTAGAAGATTGACTAGGTCTGGTAGTTGAGGTAGTTGTGTTGTGGTTCATGCCTTCCAAGTTACAGTATTGTCCGTGCAGGACCAACTGTTGCAGAAACAAGCGTGCTTCGAACGCGGGATCAGTGATGCTACTACAACACCTGGCGCAGATCTGCCAGAGCTTGAAGATTTGGAGGAAGAAACGCAGACGCCAACTCTTCAATTGAAAGAATCGGAGTTCCATCGGATGTGATGTTCAATGTCCATCTTGAAACGCCTTGAAACGCCTTGAGCTCCTCCAAAAACACGAGAGGAGTGTTTTTGGAAGTCAGACCAGGGATACTGCGCCGTTGGTGCGCGTTGGTAGCGTGGATTGGGTTTCCCAAGGTGGTTTGCAATGCGAATCCGACAGCTAACTGGCCACTCAAGAGGCCCTTGGGAACCACAATGCAAGGTGTATGCATAACTCAGCAGCTGAACGAAGGACTTTGAGCCCCAGCGAACGGTGGCGATGCGACCTTCCTGCAAAGGGCTGCACTCTGTGGCTGGCATGGAGGACGCCAGAGATGAAGTGGTGTGATCCCACCTAAAGACCTTTAAAGACCGAAAGCACACGTGAAAGATGAAACAGAAGCATTCAGTCAATGCACATTTTCTGGATAGAGTTGTTGCACCGAAACTGCACCGCCAGGACATTCGCGTCAAGTTCCTTGCTGATCCAGGTCCAGATGTGAAAAGGAACTACCCACGCGTGAACTCCTCGGGGGTGTTTTCGAGACAGCCTTTACAATGGTCAGGTGTTTTCGCGTCTTTCTCCATTCTTTTGCGAGCTATTGTAGTTTGCTTGGCTCAGGTGCCATGCCGTACCTGGGCCATCACGCCCGACGACCCTGAAGCCATGAACCCGCCATGCAAGGAAGACCTGGATCAAAGGTCTGTGGATTTCCACCCCATGGTGACCATGCACCTTTTTCGCCCCTAGTAGTATGAACCTGCTGGGCGAGGGAGCTGCTGAAGAATTTTGATCCGCATCAGTCTTAAGACTCTTAAGAATCCTTGGAGGGCACTGGGCCACATGAATCATATCATGCATCCTGAGGATTTCTGAGGTGCCTTTTGGGGTGCCGTGCCGTGGGTTGTTCTATGTTCTTAAAGAACATGTGGGGTCGGAACCGATGCGGGTCACACATTTGTGCTAAACTTGCTGGCTAAGCATTTGGCAAGTTGAATCTCTTCGCAAATCCGCCGACCGTGGCGCTTTCAAATTTCAATTGATGGATGCATGCCGACGAACGTCCACGGAATTCTGTCTCCATTGATCTCGAGGCGTCTTGAGGATCAAGAACTCCAAATCTCCCAAGCCTCATTGGCTCAAATCGTCTAGAAACCCGAGCCGTTTAGAACTTATAAAGTCCCCCTGCCGAATTACTTGGTCTGTGCAATCCTGCGCGGACAAATAGATTGAATGAATAGGCCTGCGTGCCTCTGCCGTGCTTTTTACACCCCGTGATTTGCCCAATGGCCATGGATGGCTCATTTGGAATACCTTTACACTGATTTGGAGCATGTCCAGCTTGATACAGCTTCATTAGGAAAAAACATGAAAAACACCTGCAAACTTGCATGTGTATTCTCTTTGTTTCTGTTTCAATTCGCCGTGTTTGTGCTTATGCAAGTGATAGCAAGTCAAGCCATGGACTTCAATGTGCTCCAGGTTTAATTGTTTGGGCTGAGTGCTGAAAGCCTTCGCTTTCGCTCCAGCCCAAAATGGGGTTTGTATTCTTTTTAACGTGTCCAGTTTATGTAGAGTCGGGATGCATACCCTGTGAAAGCATACCCCAGAAGCATACCCTCTAAAAAATGCCTCGACTTTAGTCTTCACACTGCGCGAATATGCTTCGAAGCATAGCTCCGAAGCACACCCCGTAGTCAGACATCCCGGCCTGAGAACTT